GAAAATCCAGATATTGAAGCTGGACTTTGTCTTATTTCTTAAATGACTGAGGAATACCAGAAATGCTTCTCACATTTCTGCAACTAAAAGCATGAGTCCTGTATGATTTTGTAAACCCTCCATGCATGCAGTTTGTTAAGATACTGCACAGCACATGTCAACATGACTATGAGACTACAGCACTGCTAGCAGCTCTGAAAAAGTCAGGGGTTCCCCAAAATCAGCAGGGTTCATCCTCTGGGGACCATGAAATGCCTGTTCAAACTTTCATGGCAATCCATTCATTAGCTGTTAAGATCGTTCAGTCTGGACTAAAGTAGTGGACAGACCTACAGACCAACCGACTGACAACCTGATACTGTCCCGAGATCCCGAGAGCCATGCTGCTAGCATGGGTGAAAATGGTCATGTCAAACTGCTGAGTTTAAAGGCTGTTGCCATGTAGATCTGCATTATACTCCTTCCCAGGTACACAAAAAAAAATTTGATTCAAATCCCAATGCATAATTCACAACATTATGTACAAGCATGGCAGGGGAGACATGACGAGCAGAGGATATCAGAAATTGGGAATTCCTTGGACACCTGACAAACTGCGTTCACTTCAAATCAGGATTTCCAAAACAGGGCACTAGTTCAGTGGAAAAATGTGTCTCGAATTTTCCACTTTTGACAAATAACAAAAACCTTTGAAATGACTGAAATAGCCTATAGAAGCATGCTTATCAGATTGTTTGTAACAGTAATCTTCCATCAGAAAATCCAGGGATAATCTATTTAAAAATCACTCCATAGGTTCATTGTTATCAAATCCTTCCCATATGGCCACACTATATGCTTTCAGACTTGCAGTTATTAAAACATGGGCAAAGAAAGAGGATCTTGCCTGAAACAAATTAAATTCAAGAGCTTCACCATGTTTGAAAGTAGCCTCAGTAAAGCTTTTTATATGTCACCTGTTCTCTAAAAAGTTGAGCTGTTGAAAAGTAGATAATTTTACACAGAGCTACTATCTTGTATGACAAGGCAGCAGCAATGACTCGGTCAGTAATAATTTAGCTGATTGCATGGCTTTTAACTCCATGGATCTTCCTGAGGTATAGGCCTGAGTGGACATTTCCTTCCTTGAATAATAAAAAATTATAGACCAACAAGTAAAACAATTACATGAGGACTCTACACTAAGGAACTACAAGAGCATCTATGGCAAAGCACTCAGACAATCCATTAGCTCAACCATGTAGGTGCAATTTCATGTCCTTTGTGAACGCCCTAACAAATGTGTGTGCTGCACACTGCAAATTGGAAATATAGGTTAAATCAACAGCAACATGATTACTGGAATTAATGTTTTTCCTAGTTATGATCAGTTATAGAAACAAGTGGTGCTGCTTTATTGCGTTTCAGCATAAATATATTAAAATACTGCAATCTATCATGGATAAGATGTTTTATTGGATATAAAACTGTGCTTAATTTGAAAAGTAATTTTGTCTTTGCTCTTGACTTTAATCTTTCCTATTTACCTTGGCATCACAGGCAAATATGTCTGGATATTACTCCACGCACAGATACAGCCAATTTGGCATCAGGTTAGTGGAAAAAATGTGCATGAAGTGAAGAAATGTAAGCAGTGAGAAAAAGAGGTACGTTTTTAATTATGATTGAGATGTTGTGAAAATGTCAGTTATCCCTGCTTCATATATCGATTGTGGAAGGCAGCAGGTAATGCCTACTTTTTTTTTCATCTCAAAATAATAGTTGCTAAGCTCGCTTATAATAATAGTTCACACTATGTTTAGGTTGGAAGGATTATTATTATGAATCAAAGTAAGGGGTTACATGTGCACTGTATCTCTTATGCACCAGTCATCTTTGGTGTCACAAGGCTACAACAGTGATAATAACAGGATATTTTCTGCCTCACCTGCATTCCTGAGGAATCTTCCCGTGTAGGAGGTGACAACTTTCGTGGTGGGGTCATAGAAACCATCTCCGCAATCGTAACACCACTCAGGAATAACACGTGGAGGATGCAGATCAGTTAGCTGAGATTCTCCTGAATGGACAGGGTAGATGTTTTATGTTGAACTATTTTCTTATGATGGTTTACTATTATCAGCTGGAGGAATGGCTCAGTGGTTAATACTGTTGCACACCTAGAAGGTTCTGTGTTCATATCTTAGTTTTCTCAAATGGCTTTGGCTGTTAGTTCTCTTACTCTAACAGTGTTTTAATTCTTGGCAATCATTGATGTGAGTGTGTTTCTGTGTGAGTGGGATAAAGAAGAAACCACAGTCATTTCACTGAATGAGTGAATATGTGAGCAAATAAATGGATTCCAACCTGCAGGTCTGAGTCCATTGCATCTCTCACTGTAGAAGCGTCTGTCATAACCATCGCAGTAGTCCCAGTCCTTTTCCTGGCACTGCAGACCATCAGCAAAGGTAAAAGACCCCTTGTGAGGAAGCACAATGAAAAATAGAGAAAATCATCTTCATTCCTCAGTCATAAACTTTTAAAGGTCAATTCACCTAAATGGAAAATAAAACTCTTCCACTTACATCTAGTGGTGTCTGGCCATGAATAGTTTCAGTGTTATTTGCCAAAGTTTTGCAACATCCGCATCTTGAAACCACCCCAGTACAACAATGTCCCTGTTACTCAAGATAATCCACAGACCTCACTGTTGACAGTTTTTGTTGGGACTGTTTCTTTGGCAGAATGTACTTCCAGTGAAAACTGTTGAAAGTGAGGTCTGGAGGTTATCCTGTGTACCCAAGACATGGTTTCTGGATAGATAAGTTGCTGGTGAGGTTTCCAAATGTCACTTTTCAGTACTTTAAGCACCACAAAAGAGTCTAAATTTCCCTCCATTGTCTTTGGGTTTAGGCTGAAATCTTAGAGATGGATATCTCAAAACCTCAGCAGAAGAAACCAAAACTGTCTGCATTGATATGTACCAGTAGTGGAAAGTGGAAAAATATGTGTTTGGGTGGGTGTGTGTGTGTTTGTGTGTGTGTGTGTGTGTGTGTGTGTGTGTGTGTGTGTTTCTGTGGAATGATGCATTATTGACAATGAAAACTGACTTTTTAAATAAACATACACTGTTCAGTAATTTTGTGTATTGGAAATGTAACAATAACATTTTCACTTCAGTGTCAACAATGTACTTTGCAGTCACCAAAAAGGCCCATTAAATGGATTTTTAAGAGGGCATATTTGGTAAGAGACCAAATACAAATTTGAAGAGAAGAGGTGAATTTGTAATTTTTACTGATAATACGTTACAGCTAGTGTGATAGATTAGCTTAGTCTTATCTATTGACACTTTTCTGTGTAGATATTCAGACCTGTCATGGCATGACAAGTACAGGTGTAACTAATGATAACAACGATGGCTCAGCTCCACTGAAGCCATGTCAGTGAACCAGCATGTACAGCAGCTGGATCCTGGAAGCACCTACAAGGAAATGCAGCCTTGATTAGGTTAATAAATTACACCTGTGCTTTTCCTGCTATGACATTTTAAAATGTCTGTAGTAGAAAAGGTCCGTTAACATGCACTAGACATGACAGGTTACTGTTGGTTTGTTGTTGGTGTCTGTTTTATCTCCCAGCACTTTTTGTTAAAGTTTAAATACAGCACTTGCAGTGACATTTTAAAAGTTAAAATGCACATTGGATCTCAGACTTTTAGACACACAACCCTTTAAAATTCTTGCTAATTAACATAGAAGGCGAGGATGCTAAAAATCTATTCAGTGTGTCAAAAGGATAAGGCAACATTTGCAAATTTTCATGGCAAAAATATGTTTTTCTTATCCTAAATGCCTGGGCTCCTCAAACCCCAGGCTGAGAAGCATTGTTTGAAAGAAGAGGTGCAAGTTGCAGAATGAGGTTTGAGCTACCAGATATAATTTGCCAGAGTTTAAATTTCCGAGTTTATTGAATGGTTTAGGTATATTTTGAATGGAAGCAGGTTTTCTTGGGCTGGCATGAACGCAGGTGCAGGGTAGTCTGGGCCAAGGTTAGTCATGGTTCAGAGCTGCTATCATTTCACATGAACCGCAACTGCATTGATGATAATAATTGGAGTGATCGCTGTTGTGGCAAAAGCCCATGGAAGATTGCATCAGAGCAGGAGAGACTATAGCTTCATGCAGGAAAAGGGGAGAGAAACCTAATAACTACGACAGTAATGGTGAGTGATTGCTAAAAGGGACCAGATGTGATATCAACTATAACCAATGTGAAACACACAATCATGCAAGTGGATACATATATTGTGACATTCATGCAGACACACACACACACACACACACACACACACACACACACACACACAAACACAACTCCTCACCTGTTTTGCTATGCCGTTTTCCCAAGTGGCCTCATATTTACTTCCATTTGGAAAATATAGCACTCCTTTGCCATGGAACATCCCATCTTTCATCTCTCCCTCATACTTGGTCTCTGTGGGAAAGGTATATTCTCCTTTTCCCTCCATCCTGAGGGAGAGTAGAGGTGGTCAACTTTTAGCTAACTATGAACCACTTGTGTGAGTTATTTGGCTGTGTGAACCCTGCTGTTTTTAAGGGTTATGAAACATTCATATCAATTTTACCTGCCATTTTTTGTTTCCCCTTTGTAACGGCTCCCAGTGACCTCCATTTAATATACTGTCGTCTTCACAAAATAAAATAAGATACGCCGTTGCCATGGCAACACTGCAACAGGCAGCAACAGACAAAGAGTGGAAGGCTCCTCATGAAAACGCTTAGGATAGAGGGCAGTGGACTGCTGTCACTGTCTTTTAGAAAAAAATTCGAAATAAAACGGAACAAAATTGCAAATTTAAGAAATCTTCTTTACAGCCTTTTCACTTCTTTCTTTCGCTTATTGTTTTTTTCACTACGCATGCGGGCGCCTTTTGTCGCTCTCTCTGCAACGTCATCAGAGCGCGCCTCCCGGCTGCAGCAGCAGAGCAAACCAGACTGACCTTCTCCCCGGCCTCGTCGCTCGTCCTGGAGCCTGACGAGGACCTTGAATGTTTTTCAGTAGCGGTGTTTGATATTTTGTGATATTGATTTGTTTGATATTGTACAGCCATGCCCACAACGGTGGAAGTCCCCACACTGCAGGAGCTGAATGTGGACGAGGTGAGCAGCGGTTATTGTTTAGCTTGAATGAAAATCATAGTAAGATAGAAGATGCTAGCTAACTAGCTGCTAACGCTAGCTGCCATAGGCTTCAGGATTTGCTCAGTAACTAATATTTTTTTGCCGCTGGCGTTTCCAGCCCTCACAATGGTAAAAGTTAGTTAGATAATGTAAGTTTATAATAGATGAGCTGGTGAATATTTCGGAATACATTTGGAGCTGGTGAATATTCTGCCATCGTTGTGATAGGCACCATGACAATATTAAGTAGCGTTAGAGGAATCAAAATATGTCTCCAAGGCGATGCAGAGAGATGACTGGCTGTTAACCATCGTTAACTTTGTCTTCACAGGGTCTCTATTGCTCTTTTGATAGTCCACATTACGTCTTCATTTTGGCCCTGTGGCCACAGTAACTTTACAGTGGTTGACCCAAAACAAACCATTGACTGGTTCATGTCAGCCGCAGTGTTATTTGGCACATTGAACTTGTCCTTGGAAGTCAGGTGGAAGCTGGCAGCAGCTTGAATCTTTGAGATACCAACCAATGATATAATAGACGATATGTGTGCATGTAATAGTTTCTTTTAAATTTAATAGTTAAACAATTTTTTGAAGAATTAAATTGTGAAGACACTGCCTTAAACCCCTCACTTCACACTGCTGTTCTGTTTTGGATTGTTCTATTGGCCAGGGCCTGACAAATACTTTTCCTCTATATATTAAGACTTATATAAAATTTGCTGCAGTGCATTCACACATTCTGAATATTAGTCTGTGAGATCAGAATTTTTACTTTAAGTACAGTAGAGTATTGTAATACATTTGCATTATTAGAGTTCAGCACTGATGTGCAGTACATTTATTTATATAAAAATGCATGCACATGGCAGTAGTTGGAAATATTGATGAGAGATGCTGGGCTAAAGAATGGTTGTTCTCCAAAAAACAGCTCAGACCTCATAATAACTGCCTCTTAAACCACAAAGTCTATTTTCATTGTGTGTGTGTGCGTGTTTTTATTAACAAACTTAGTAAACAAGATAAAAATTGTAGACTAAATAGAGCTGCTTGGAAGTTTTCGAGAGTGTACTTTCTACTATTGGAGCTAGCCTAGCAGTTTCCAGCTGTTCCAGGTTAGGCAACACATGCAGATTCACTATATTGTGCCTTATTAATCAGGTCTAAAATATCAACAAGTGTCAGACTACACAAAAAAATGGAGACTACCTCAAAAAATGGAATTACAGTTGTACTCATAAGTTTACATACCCTGGCAGAATTTATAAGATGTGTGCCATTCTTTAAAGAAAACATGAAGAAGAAACACATTTATTTGATTTTTGATTGGATTCAAATTAAACTACAAACACAGAATAGCACAATAATTCACAATCAACAAAACATAGCAATAAAGAAAATAAGTATGTGGTACCTGTTCAAAAGTTTGCATAACCTTAGTTGTTAAAACTGTATATTGCCCCTTTTAGCATCAATGATGGCTTGAAGTCTTTTGTTATAGTTGTGGAGGAGGACCTTTATTTCTCAATCCAATAAATTCTCAAGTTTTCTTGCATGAAGTTTACATTTGTGATCTCTCCAAAGTGGTTCAATGATATTAAGGTTAGTAGACTATGACTGCCTCTCCACAAAACCTTCACATTTTTCTGCTATGGCCACTGATGGGACGACTTGGCCTCATATTTTTGATCATTGTCATATTGGAAAGTCCAAGTGTGTCCCATGCGTATCTTCTGGGCTGATAAATGCAAATTGTCTTCCAATATTTTCTGAAAAGATTCTGCATTCATCTTGCCATCAATTTTGACTAAATTCCCTGTGCCACTGTAGCTCACACATCCCCACAATATCAGAGTTCCTCCTACATGCTTCACAGTAGGGGTGGTGTACTTCTCGTCATAGGCCTTGTTGACTCCCCTTCAAACATAGTGTTAATGGTTGTGACCATAAAGTTCAATTTTGGTCTCATCAGTCCGAATGACTTTGTTCCAGAAGTTGTCAGGCTTGTCAAGGTGCTGTTTGGCATATTGTAAGCAGGCTGTTATGTGGTGTTGGCGTCATAATGGCTTTTTTCTGGCAACTAGACTCTGCAGCAGAAGTACCTTCTTATTGTGCGTCTTGAAATAGACACCCCACTTTTTTGCAGAGAAGCCTGTATTTCAGCTGAAGTTGCTGGGGGTAGGGGTTTTTCTTTGTGTTATGACCTCCTTTAACCTGTGTGTGTGTCTACTTCTGTCAATATCATCAAGCTAAACATTCAAGGGTATGTAAACTTTTATTTGGGGCCATTCAGATAATTTCATTATCATCAGTCAGGGGCACAAACAATTATGTGATAATAAATGGCTTCACCTGACCACTATCCCTAAATAAAAGAAAACTCATATTTCCCCCCCCCAAAAATTGTCAATATTTTACAAAGTCTGCCAGGGGCATGTAAATGTATGAGCACAACTGTATGTCCTCGCATACGTATTATTTAGTAATTAATAATCATTTTACCTTTGTTACCATTTTTTTTTTGTGTCTGTCAGATCAATGTGTCATCTGCAGTGCTGAAGGCTGCTGCCCACCATTATGGCTCCCAGTGTGACAAACCCAACAAGGAGTTCATGCTCTGTCGCTGGGAGGAGAAGGACCCCAGGAAGTGTCTAGAAGAAGGGAGGAAAGTCAACGAGTGTGCGCTCAACTTCTTCAGGTAACACACCTCCATACATAGACACAGTTACTGAAACATTCAGGAAACAAAAGGAGTTTACATATTGTGTGTTTTTCTTATAGATTCATTACAAAAAGAGTTGATAAATCAGATATGTGGGAAACTGTGAATACCTGAAAGAAAATGTGAAAGAAAGCAGTGAGCAATGTATTTGACAGTTAAGGTGATACTCGAGAGATTCAGCAGATGAAGCCACTCTGCTATCAACTGCAAAACTGAACAGTGGGCTGGTGGTCAGAGTGTTATTTAAGATGTGGCTGGACTCTGGAATCAGCTGGAGAGTGCACAGTATGATAGTCCATGTAAAACCATGGTCAAGAGGTTTGTGGTCAAGAGTTTTTGCATTTCTTCCTCTGTGATGGACATATGGGCAGAATATGTGCTTTGAGGTTGCAAATACTGCCGTTGGACAGTTGTTGTTGCAGGGGTTACAGCTGTTCACACAGAAAGAAGATTTCAGTGTTGGGACGTCTGGTTTCCTGTTCTGTAATTTGTCCTACTAATAAGCGCTCAATTCCATCTGCTTCTACTAAGTTCTCAGAACAACAAGTGGTGAGAATTTGTAGCTGGATAAGGAAGATGTCTATTAGATCTCTATATTATATTCATATATCTATATGACTAATATTTAAGAAATTAGGTAAAAAATATGGTATACGTTGTCCTATTATTAAGTGTATCTTGGGTGGAAGGAAAGGTGAGTGGTTAATTTGCAGACCACTCAAGTGTTTTTGTAAATATGAATACAAGGAGAAAGCTTCAGAAGACACAGAAGAAAGAGAAATAAACACCAGAATAAAACTCTGAACAGTGGGGTAGGCTTTCAGCAGAACCACAACAGGTTTTTGGTCAAACTTTCGGTTCCACTTTCCTGAGATGTTGCCAAAAGTCTGAAAAATGTTTTCCATTATGTAAGTGTACTTTTGTCACAGAACTAATCTCACAGCTGTTTGTATTTTTGGATCATCTGGATTAATTGAACGACTCGGTCTTTATTCCTGCAAAGCCATTTAATTATTTATTATTAATTTCCTTTAAAAAGTTTTATCTGCCTTTTTTGGCGATTGAAGAGTCAGCCTTTAACCCAAAGTCTCAACAAACACTTGTTGTCTTTAAATGAATAAAAAATAAATTATCAACAAGAGGTGGCCAGAGTATGATCTTTGTCAATTCTCTGCTACTTTCTTTATAAAAATGACCAGTAGAAAAAAGGAATGTTAATTTTATAACTGAATAATCATACAGCCTGTTGTGTCTATAAAACTGCCACTGGGGGCTATTTGAGGAAGTGGTCTGGGGTTTTTCACTCTTAACTACTATGTCTGTGTTTACTGAAAGCTTTAGACAGAGCTTTGGTTATACCATGCAGTATTCCCATGCAGTAACTAAGGTGCTTTTGTGTGTTTTTGTGTCTCAAACCAGTTGTGGTTTTGGTTCTCAAAAAATTAAACAAAACAAAAAAAAACACATGACCTCCAATTCAATAGCAGAAGTAAATAACTGACACTCTAACCCCAAAGATAGACTGAGAGTTATTGTGAAAGAGAAGGACCTGTAATTATTATAATGAGGAAAGATTTGTGAAAAGCTGTAATTGCACCTGGGATCTGGTTTGATTCTTGGATGCTTTTGGCAACTGCCAGCCACCTTTAGGAGCACTGCCTTCTTCTTACGGAAACTTGTCCATAGTAATCAGAATTTTTTTGACTAGTGGAAACTGACTAGTCATAAACCAGAACTTAATAAAAGTTCCTGACTTGGTTTGGTGTCAGATCTTTAATTTGAACAGGTTCGGCTAACAAGATGAATGTGATTTCTTTATAAATCTTTAAATCTAAACTCCTATATCATATGTTCTTTTACAAATCAGTCCCCTAAATCGTCATATCTTTTAAAATATCTTCAGTATTTTAGAGGGAAGAATTCCTGCTCATGCATATTTCATTCTGATTCAAATCTCTGTTTGCATCTTTTCTTGTAGGCAAATCAAGGGTAACTGTGCCGAGTCCTTCACGGAGTACTGGACCTGTCTGGATTATTCGAACTTGGCAGAACTGCGTCATTGCCGTAAGCAGCAGCAAACCTTTGACAGCTGCGTCCTTGATAAGCTGGGGTGGGAGAGACCTGAGCTGGGAGACCTGTCTAAGGTGAGACTTGTGAGGGATTGACTGCGCATTGACAATGTGAGCAGCTGGGTTGATGGGCTCTATTCTTTCCGATTATGGGCTGTGCAAGAGCCTCTGATTGCATCTGCGTAGTGGTCTCATTCAGCTGCAGTGCTGAGCAGAAAAAATCATGTCTTTTTTGCTGCTTTGGGTTTTCTTTTCATTAAATTTCCATCTTTAAGGGGTTTGCATAACTGACTGGCAAGTGTTAATTAGGCAGCAGCAATCAAAGTACCACAAATGATCTTGACAATAGTTTTTTGGGCATTTATTTCTGTAGTCTTTGAAAAGACAAGAGCACAAACCTGGGAAGCCATGAATGGCTGTAATCAACTTTCTGGCCATTTTGCACTCACCAGGCAGAGCTAGTGTTCATGGAATTGAACCACATGAGCAGGGAAACAAAACAGAAATCTGAATTACTATGAAAAATATGCAGGTTGACTGTCCATGCTCTGGCCGAGTTTCTCTGGTTTCTCAGCCATACAACAAATAAAAAGATCTGGAGAGTAAAACTTTTGTTGAGTTTGGGCAGAGTCGAGAGGAAAGAGAGTAACTCATTCAGGTGGGAAGAAAGCTAGTGTAAGAGAAACTTAAGGCCAAGGTAGTAACAGAAGGAGAGAGTAAAAGAAAGGGGGAGGTCCTGACTTGCAAGCCAAAAGGAGAGCTGAGAGGATGTAAATCATGACATAAGGAAAGAGCTGTAAGAGGTAGAGGATGAAGGAAATACTGTGTTTCAGCAGTTCGGAGCAAAAGAGGGGCGTGAACCCACCTGCATAAACCTTTAATGGTAGACGATTTAAAGAGTGTGAAGGGTTTCCAAAAAAACTACTCTCACAATTTACCAGATTTTAAGCAATAGACCTTTACCGTCTGTTCTGAGAGTATGATATATATATTGTACATTATCCTAACATCCAAGGTAACTGTTGTGTTTCGAGTCAATTGTGTTGAATTTTAGGAAGAATCAGAATCAGAATCATTAAATTTCAAAATCTGAGCATGTCCACTAAAACGTTCTTGCAGGACACTGTTATTTCAATGTGTTTCCACTGTATATGAGAAGTCATGGCATGCCTGTTCCTTGTGTGTCATAGGTGACCAAAGTGTCTACCTCACGGCCCCTCCCTGAGAACCCCTACCACTCTAGACCACGTCCGGAGCCCAACCCTGCCATCGAGGGAAAACTGGAGCCATCCAAACATGGCAGCAGGTTATTCTTCTGGAGCTGGTGAGGTGGCTCTCGAAAGTCAGTCACCTCCCAAAGCCATGGGCTCTGTCCAAAAACAGCTCGACTACATGTGACCAGTGATACTTCAAAAGGGTTAAATCTCAGGTGCAGGCACAAGCATTAAGGATGCTAGTTTTGGCACATTTGCATGTGTAAGGTCTGAGAGCTGATTTTGGACAGGGCTCATGTCCTAACAGTCTTTCCAGCAGCTGTACTGTACCTCCAACATCGTCAAACAGTTTGATTAAGGAAGCAAGGATGGATGATTGTGTGAACAAGGTCCTTGAATCCATACAGCTTTCCTGACCACCTCTGTAAATGTAATAAGTGAACAAATGCAACATGCTGTTGTTGTTGTTGTTGTCAAATAATAAAGAGATAAATTATAATGCTGGATTTTGATGTCTCTTTTTTTAAAACTTAGTTGATATTAAGATATAAAGCTTTAAACATTTCCTAGCACAAGAACAAGCAACTATTTTTAGGCTTTATGGTGCCAGACACCGTTTCTTTGATATTGGCAAATTGTAAGCAACACCACTATGTTTGCACATCTGTGTTTTGTCCGAGTGTGTATTGTCAGACTGATGGGGGGTGAGGTTGGAGGTCAAGGCTCAGGGTCACTACCTGCAGCCAGAGAGAGCTGCTTCTGCTTCCTCCTTTTCTCCCAGCTCACTTCCTGCCTCTGACCTGGACTGGAAGAAGGCAAGTCGTTTCGGAGATGCACAGCAAAGTATGTTATTGCTGCCGGCACACGTGTGCATGCACACGCGTACTCATGACCCTGAATAGAAGGAGAAGAGAGGCCGATTCAAAGACATGCTGGCTTGAGGAACATAGAGGATTGTGCCAACACACACACACACACACGTGCACTCACATACCACCGGGACATTGTCCAAGATCAAAGTTGCAGTATAATGTGGTGAGGGAGATTCTGCTTTGTACAAGTTAACATAAAAGCTCACGATTTTGTTTAAGTATGCATATCAATTGTTTGAAATCTATACCAGAAATACTGGTGATTTGAATTGCTCTACCGCAAACGTCAAACAGTTTGAGTCTTTAACCCCCGCCATGTGGTTGATTTCTATGGGGACCAATAGAAATGCATGATTTGACAGCTTTCTCATACTCAAAAGCAGAGATGTGGCCCCAGGATGTTTGCATATAATGTAAGAGTGTTGTTTCAGGGCACAAAAACACAGGGACTTGACTTATAAGGGAGGTCGACAGCTATCAGTTGACAGTCACTGTGATTTTATTCAGAATATGTAAAAATACACCTTGAGCTTTTTTTGTTTTTGCTTATTCTAGATGGAGCACTGATATCATGACTACTGACGGTGTTTTCTATGCTGCATGTTTTCAACTGTTTCCCACAAGTGTCTTTTTATCCAGCGGACAGCAAGTTCAACAGTGCACACAGCTTATTGCCAAAAACAACCATATATTTTCGCTGTGTACAGTAGCTCCATGTATACATGCAGACAGGAGCGTGCATGTCTCTGTGTTTCTATGGGGCGTCACTGACAGTAGTTGCAGAAATCCCCTTCACAAGGTGTGGTCTGAACCTGTGGCTTTCACAGGAAACGTCTGACAGACCTCCTGACCTGGACAGTGGGACAAAGGGAGGAGGGAAGAAGGGATGTAAAGAGAAAAGGAGGTGTGGACAGAGGGAGACATGAAGGAGATGGGGGCAAGGGACAGAAAGGGGATGGCAAATAAGAAAACAAGGAAGGAGGTAGAAGAAGGTTAAAGGGAGAGAAATTAAGGAAGGGGGAGGAAAATAGAAAAAGCAACAGCCAAGGGGAGGTAAGGAATTAAGGGAAATGAGATGGGATGAGGAAAAAGTGAGATCCAGAGAGGGCAAGGTGGGGAATGACTTGAAAGCAGACAGACAGAGTGGGGGCTTGGAGGTTGTTCAGTGGCTGGCGGTGAGGCCCTGGGGCTCGTGGCAGGCCCGTCTCCATGCGACTTGCAGGAAGCAGAGGGTCATCGTTGTTTGACACGGCACCGCCACAGGAAACGGGCTCTGGCACAGGAAAGAAATACAATACGGGGCTTTCACAAGGCTACAGCCCGCCTGGGAGCCTGACGCGCTAAAATACTCAAACAACCAGGCTTGTTCATAACACATGACTGTCAATATTCCCATTGTTCAGTGTCACGTTTGACATAATAAAATGAATGTTTGAAGTGGTGATGGTCACTGACAGTCAAAGCTGGAAGACGTTTTTTTTTCTTTCTCCATCAGGCCACCTGTGTTTAACACTGAAGATGAAGTTCAGACATAAAACATGTCTCCTGGAACTTTAAATGCTCATTTACCACAAGCAAATCTGTGGTAAATGAGCATTAAAAAAGATAGATAATCAAGTGCTGTCTGAAATTTATAACAGAAAATTAACGCCGGATGGCAATGTTCTGGATTACATTATCAAAGCATTACTTCAGTGCACTTCTCTCCTATGAGACGTCTGCTGCATCCATGCCATTAGAGCCCTGAACATGTGGGTGCACTCGATTTCACAAACTCTAAAAATGTAGGTGTGTTTGATTTGTTTATGTTGGTGTGCCTTTCCTAGACATTTTCGCCCTGTGATCTTTCAGACTGTACATGTTGCTGAGTGCTGCTTTCATGTCTCCTCTCATCCCCTCAGACTGCACAGGGTGGCTTTGAACTGGCATGCAGGTTGCTGTATGTATAAAACACACAAGCACCAAGCTGCAAGTACCGGCACTACATCCATGACCACTGGGAGCTTCAAAAGAGGTAAACTCACACAAAAAGCACATGTGCTCACTTACGCAGTAGATATTGTTGTTTTTAATCTCTTATGTTTTCTGAGAAGAGCCATGCAGGCACCGCTACATCTCAGCAGGGAAAAATCTGGGTTTTCTTCAAGACCATGAGACCAAACTGAATTAATTCCAATGGAATAGCCACGATAGACAGCTCTGATGGCTGAGGTCAAATATATTTACACTGTGCTTCAACTTCAGTGAACAGGTCAATGTTAACAGAAACCAAAGTGAAGAAAGCTGTCATATTAGTTGTGTTGCACCACTATGAACCCCTGCACACACGAAATACAGCATGGTTTGTGTTGAGCCGTCAGATACGAGTCCAGTTCGAGAGCTTTGTGAGGATGTGGAAATGAATTTTGCAGTGCTACACTCTGGTGTACCCGGACGCTGAGCAATCTCACTATTTGCCAAAGTCAGAGATGTTGTGGATGATGAAAGAAAATGTGAGACTTATCGGGTCTGAAGAGCCAATTTCCTGCATACAAAGCTGTTTGCTGAATTGCTATTGCTTCTTTTTTTTTTTTAAATAATGTTTTTAATAATGGTAATGCAAAATAGACTTGATGGTAGAGGGGCCAAGACTGTGCACAAACTTTGAGATAAACACCGAACGCTGTTGAATATTACATTTCAGCTGACTTTTATAACATTTTTTAGTCGATATGGCAAACAGTTGCCTATTTTACACTTCCAGCACATATGGAGACACGTTCAGATTTATTTTGAGTTGTGTTTCTGGCCACTGAACAGATGTAAGTACAACATTCCCTATACACAAATGTTTGGTTCTGAAGCTGAGAAATGCTGCATTATGTTCACCAGCTAGTGGCTAACCCAGCCTGTCTGCCATTTGGTGCTGAGCAGGTTTTTTTTTTTTTTTTTTTTAACAAAGAACGCTTAGGTAGGAAAAAACAGTTGTGGCCGAAGAACCAAGACAATTTGTAGAAAGACAGTCTGTACGAGATGACTTCCTTTGACATTATAAATGGTGATTGATCCAACTTTATTATAATTAAATAATATAGATTACATCCATCACTCTTGAATTACTCCCAATTCCTTTTAATTTGTTTAGATGATTCTGCTTAACTCTTCTTTACAGTAAAACACATCACTTAGCCAATGTGCGGATTAAAGGGAAGTTCAAACAGAATGTCCTCCTAAAGATTTAAGAGACACACACACACACACACACACACACACACACACACACACACACACACACACACACACACACAGCCTTAAATCTGTATGGTGACAGAGTGATGACCATCACTTGTGTTTTGCATTCCAGTCAGACACGCTTCACAGCCGCTCTTTTCTTGCTGCAGTTTTGCCAAACGCCTCTGAATGCCGAGCTTAAGATAACATTTGGCGAATTTTTAAAAGTTTCTCTCAAGGTGTTAGTTGGTCAAAGACAAGACGGAGCAGGAGAGCCCTCGCTCCATAGCACACTAATGAAGCTCAGTCACACACTCACGGACAGACAATGAAATACACTGACATGTGAATACAGATGAACACACGTGAACGAATGCAGAGCAAAAAAAAAAAAAGAAAAGGAAAGAAAAAGACACAAGCAAGCGTGCACATTAACATTAGTGATAAATATCTTCCCACCATGAAGGAACTATGATTAAATCTATAGGACATAGCTGACATTTTTCTCCATATTTTTGTATAATTACAAAGCAGAAGTTTAATTCTTTTTTTCATGGTGAGTAATGGAATAGAATTTTAAACGACTCAAGACATGAAGAGGGATAGTCTGAGGGCTCAGCGAACTCTTGAGTCGGTTTATTCCACATGTTTAAAAATAAAACTGCAGCAATTCCTTTGCACTACGTGTTTATTCTGTGGTATCTGAGCAAATGGACTAATGTGAAGTATGTGCTGAAATGAGATGTCGAAATGACAGCTCGGCCTGTTGTCACACAGCTTAACACTCAAGAAGTTGTGGTCTGGGAGCCACACAGAGCAGTGTTTATTTGTCTGCAGGTGTGTGTGTGTGTGTGTGTGTGTGTGTGTGTGTGTGTGTACGTGCTTGCGCGAGTATGATAGATATAAAGTGCTCGCAGCCACAAAGTGTTTGTGTTTTGTTTGTGCAGTTGTACATATGTGTGGGAGAAAAGTTCATACGTGTGTGTGCATTGGTGCATAAATGTGTGTGTGTGTGTGTGTGTGTGTGTGTGTGTGTGTGTGTGTGTGTGTGTGTGTGTGTGTGTGTGTGTGTGTGTGTGTGTGTATGTGTATGTGTGTGTGTGTGTGTGTGTGTGTATATGTATGTATGTATGTGTGTGTGTGTGTGTGTGTGGTGCTGCAGCTCCTTCTGGGCTGGCTTGTGTTTATCTTGGCCTGATCCCAGACCTTCATCACTTCTCTGCTGATAGCTCCATTCCTCCATCCCTCTGTCCCTCCGGCTATTTACAAGTCTACCGCAGACTGCCTTTCCCTGCGTGCCAACATCCAATCCTTTTTCTCTTCCCCGTCCTCTCCTCTCCTCTTCTCTCCTCTCCTCTTCTCTCCTCTCCTCTTCTCTCCTCTCCTCTTCTCGCATCCCATTTCATTTCCTTTATCT